GTAACCATGTCATAAAAACTGTATCCATTCAATAAGCATTAGTTCACAATTATTATTAACAGTAAGAAAAATTGGCTTACTGTAGGTAGAATATCATGAGTGATTAGTATCCATTGTATCCCAAATTATTTGGGTTAGTCAAGATCATACGAGAATGTAGGTAGAATGATTAGAGTGTTGATTGATCTATGTTCTAGGTCGCAAGCATTTCATACTTATTGGCATGATGCAATATTTCGTCTCTATTTTAATAACAGCCATCCGTGGCTAACGGATAATTCATTTCATTACAATGACTACAGTATAATGACATCCGGTATTGGAATTTTTCTTTCAAATTAGCGGTTTATTAAGCTACTGGATTATTTATTAGTAAAGTGCAAAGCTAATTGTCTTACTGTATCAACATTATCAACGACCCATGATAGTTGAATAAATCAATGTCGGCTAATTAACCAAGACTATAGACTAATTACTACCCGTAAAAAGTAATGATCTACTGGTATCTGCTCGTCTATTCTATTGACTATTCTATTTGAATCGATCCATTTGTTGCCTCAGTTGGAGGTCTTTCAAAATAGGCATAAGAATGACGTGATCTAGTCCTACTGCGTTGCTGAACGCCTACCGTAATTAATTAATTCAATCATTCTACTGTAGTATACAGCTTCGTATACAGCAGTGGCGAATGATACAACCGATGAACTAAAGCTTCGCATTCTTGTTGATTGGTACGCCTCCATTTTGCGTGGATGGACACTTTTTTCCCGTAAGTATCCTAGGCAATAGGGAAAGTGTGGAATGACAGGTTTACAGTAAGCAAGATTTCATTGTATCCAATACAATCCTACTATACTGTACGTTGGTTCACACTATTTTTTTTGCTAGCGAGAGAGAGAAGAAATTGTTGACTGGCTGACAGACTCCTTCACTAAAACACTTCATTCTACGAACAGGTGATAGCGGCAGTTTTCACCACTTTGAAGCAAATGTACTTTAAGTCCGCGATTGCGGCGGTAACCAAAAGAGCTGTCCCGTGTACACTTGTACACTTGTGTACAGTGTGCTGTACAGTAGAATATCATTACTATATTGTACTCTACTGCACAGAACTTATTGTGCAAGTTATTTTGCCCAAATGGTTACTATTTGAGTAAATATGATGGGCCTGTCATATCATTGCTCATTTATCCACGAATCATGTACACTTCTCCATTACAGTACACTAGTATACTGACGTAAATGATGATGCTAATATGTACAGAATCGCACTACAGTCGGTCACCATCTACTCCATACAGTATACAGCAAGTGGGTTAGCGAGTTGCGTTCAGAATCCCTTTTCTGTGCAACAGTATAACTCTCTCTCTACTTTGTACCTAGCTGACTTCGGGTAATAAAGTTGCCATTTCTAAAACAGCTCTCTCTCTCTCTCTCGTCTACAGTCTCTAAGCAGAAAGACATATTAACTACACAGTAACGCCGAAGTACGTGTACGTCCGTTTTCCAGAAGAAATGTTGTGATCTTGCGGAACTTGTTGGTGTCTTCAAGCTACCGATTTCCAAGTACTGTACAGGCATTGCTATGTACTGTATGATACTGTACTGCAGCGTCAAGGTACTCCTAGTAGAGTTGCAGCCGATTACTGTATTGTATGCTCAGCTACAGTACTCGATTCTTTTCGACACTATAGACTGTAGACTGTAGAGTACAGTGGTACAGTTGTGTTTTGCCATGTTGGCCCATCTCGCGCCAACACATGCGGAATCGATCTGTCATACTGTGTAGAGTACAGTAGTCGATGAACCTCAATATGACTCGCACTATTACCGTAGTGGCGGTGTATTCGAGTAGACTCTAGTGTGCTCTTCTTCAACTCGGGTGACTTGGCATCAGTAGTGACTCGTCGCAAGTGGAGTGTGACGCCGCAGTCTCAGTCAGCCTATGCCTCAATCAACTGTACTGGGTCATACGGTACTGTACTGTGACGCTACAGTGGAGTGTGACGCCGCAGTCTCAGTCAGCCTATGCCTCAATCAACTGTACTGGGTCATACTATACTGTGACGCTGCAGTGGAGTGTGACGCTTCAGTCTCAGTCTAGGCCTGAATCGCCTGCACTGCGCACGCTCGAAGGATGCTATAAGTAACCACGTCGAATGCGTCGACTCTATTTACTCTACTGCGATCCAGTGGTAGGAAAGGAGAAAGAGTCCATTCGCTCGCTGTCTAGTCCAATCTGTTTTGCTCATTTCTACGCTAGATTGTAGGCCATTTTTAAGCAAGAGATTGTCCTTTTCCTGAACTCATTGACTTGATCGATTGCAGTGATGGTTCTGTTACCATTAGAGCCGGCAGAATGTTTAACGGATAGTCCTTATTTCCGATCCAATCTTCACTCGCACGAAGGAGAATTAGAAGATACCAGTGATGCCTTGAAGGGATTACTGAAAGAAAGTCGCAAACTCCTGAGTGCGATAACGCGTAAGTTAAAGACCTGTAGGTCGGTCCTCTTTTTTTTTTTCCCTTTTTATTTTTCACCCCTCCAACCTCTGTGATTGCCTGTACCCACCCAACAAGATCTGCCTTTAGTCAGCATGAAGGAGCTACGGCGTAGGCTTCGCTATCCTATTCGCTACAATGATGTCGACCCAGTGGAACGGATGTTGGATTGCCAATCGAGTTCTGCAAAGGCCATGTCCAACGATAGTAAACAAAGCCAAGGGAGCTCTAGGCGTACTAGAGATCCGTCCATAGACTATGGCGAATATGGCTAATAGTATAGGGCATTAAAATCAATGATAGCTAAAATATCCATTCTATTTCTACTGAGACAGTCATGAAGGAAGAAAATACCTTTCATGACTTTTTCAAACGTAACTTTTTATATACAATCATCGCGGACATTTGAACCCAACCAAAAGCTCCAATTCCTGACGTACCACGTATACCGAATGACAGTGGAACACCCCATACAAGACATAAATTGATACAACCCTCTATTCGCAATGGCCACGATGAAATGGATATGGTCACCATTTTCAGTTAGAGATCAAGTCGATTTTGTGCTAGCAAATGGATACCTTAATCGATAGTAGTGGCCTAGTTGGCCAGGCGACTTGAGGGAGTCCTTTCCATTTCGCCAAAAATGAGATTGGTTAGTACAAGGAGAAAGGACGCAAAGCAAAAGAGCAGCAAGGCTTTCGTAACATGAGAATAATTTTCACAAGGCATCATTCCATTCGACCGCAGGTAGGGTAGAGTGCAACATTAATCGTTGCTAGTCCTTGCTCTATCCTACATTCCTACTACAGTTGTTATGCCTGCCACAATTGGACGTCTTACAATAATATTGATGTAATCGCCATCCGATATCAGCCACTATATTTTTATTTATCCATGACCTTTTAAATGCTATTGAATGAAGAAAAAAACAGGCTATCAACTTGAATCTCCACAATAACGGTCATTTATTCTGTGATGATGCACACACAGTACAGTAGTATGAAAATGGAGGATACGATAGCAAGCTTGAACAATTTCTTCAACTTCAATTGAAGGGGGAATAGTATGGAATAACACCTAGTTACACCAACGACTTGTAAGAGAAAAAAATCCATGCCATGATCTCCTACAAGTAGCTGACTACACTACCGTAGTAGTATATCTCTATATAGAAAACTTGCCGCAGCAGCCATTCTAAATCATCACCAAATTGAAATGAACGCACTAAGTAACAGGAGAAAATGGAAGGTCGTGACGAGATGCGGCAAGCAATTTCTCGTCAATGTCGCAACATGATCCACGTTAACCATCGACAATAATATTGGATGCAAGGATTGACTAAATCAAGGATGTTAAAGGACACTTGAAGTATTTTAACGTATCCGTTAACCCATTTTTAGTCTTTAGTACAATGACATTCCTTACAAGCTTCCAACATCAATTAATTACGTTAATTGAAGTACTCCTTAAAGATATAGAAATGAATTGAGAATGATGTCAACCACTATCCATAAGCTGTCATTATCCGTGTCATTTTGCAAGCAAGTATTGCTCATGTTGAAATGAAAAACTCTTTCCACCATTGATGCTAAATTAATCGGTCAGTCGTATCGGTTAGAAATAAATGAGTGCTACTCTAGCAAGGTATATTATCAATCTTTTTGCCGAATTGAAACAATTGCTGTCCCTTTTCGATTATTGACTACAACAGTCTTCAATTATTCAGGTTTTGCAAGAAAAGTTTAAATACAGCGATACAATTGATTAGCAAACACTGGGCCTAAATTTAATACGTTATACGCCATAATGTATTTACTACAAGGGAGAAAAGAAGATCAAAATTAAATTTGGCGCTATGATTACTTTTGTGATGGCTTTCTTAACCTGTTCCTGAAATCACCATCCTCCAATTTCTACTTGGGATGGCTTAATTCGTACAGTAGTTGAACCATGTCGTAATTGATATTTATAATTATTACTCTTATGTATTTTCGATGGAAAGGATGTAACGACTATCTCAATAAAATGACCTATTTGCATTAAGGCATTCGATCAACTTTGGGCTGCTCGATGCAATGGACTAGTATCTACATGTTACTCCCTTTATAGCATGCTTAAAACCGTTTCTGAAATACAACGTCATCAACTTTTTCCACTACAAATACACTAGTCTTGTATTGTCCATCATACTTTCCTGATAATTGATGCTGTATTCATTAATGTCGAAATGGTGTAAATAGATAAAGTACAGAAATCATTTTTACTTATTCATTCAAAATGAATAAGACCGCATGACCGTCTTAAATCAAATTTAAATCGAATATTATTTGCTTTTGAGGTATTCCACGACACCATAACGATCTATAATAGAAACGCTATTTTAAAAACTTCTTCTAGTAATATACTTATTTTTCAATAAAACTGGAATAGCAAGGATAGGAAAAAAGATCCTTTCAAAATGAAATGAAGGTCTCCCTTTAGCTTTAAAGAAAAATATGATTGCCCTTTGCTATAATAGTGATTACCGAGTTGAAGATAGACTATTTTCAGGTAGCAAAGTCATGGTATTACAGTTCTTTTTCTCCCCGTTTAAAAGTACAACTTTGACCTTTAGCAAATTCGAATAGATTAATCGAATCTCAATTCCAAAGTTGACAGATTAACTTATCGCTTAAAAGTAGCACTTAGTATCGCAATTGACTCCCAGTACAGTATGTCGTGTATTAATCGGAACTCGTCATAAGTGATACGCTCTCCTTTTTCAAACTTGTTGACAAATACCGTTTATTAATCAACCATTTTATCAACATTTCCTTTGCCACTTTTTCGTCAAATTATTTATTTAAAATACTGCCTACTGCTGTATTGGCTAAGACTGTATCCATTCGTTCGATTTTTATCCAAGATGAAACTATTAAAACTATGATTATTATATTGATTACTGTGTTCCAGTACACCTAAGGTCGTATGGTGGCTTTTTTAGTTTAGCGATAAATAATACTGCGTAGTGATGATATATTATTTTTATTTTACATAGAATTATCAAAAGCTCAGAAAAGCTTTGCACTAGCGTTATACGAATTTAAATTTACGGAAGCGATTGGACAACCCACTGATGATGAATTGACAATCGGTAAGTTGTAGCTACGTGATAAAATAAGATTTCTGTTCCAGTCATTGCTTGCTAGCTATCTTTTTATCGTACTGCAGACTACAGTATCAAAAATTATCGCAGTACAATTTTGTAAAGTGATTAACACCCGATTATTAATTCAACAGCGTACTATACATATTTTCGTGTATTCACGTCTTATCAACGAAGCGTTATGACTACGAGTATAAATTAATTTATACGCGTGTGTATGAACGATGCGACATTAAAGATAGATATTATTGGAAATGAATGTTGCCACAGTATTCGGTACAAATACGTACTTTGCTGCAATATCTTGTATGTCGGTATAATTACGTAAGACGTCCCTTGTATTACCATTAGTTCTAACGCTGAAGACATCTTATTGCTAAATTCGGATGGTTTTTTAAATAAATTAAACTATCCTTTCAAAATCATGTCTCGCAAATGCGAATGTACAGTACATATAAATTGTTCGTGTTGAGTTATGAAATTAAAATCTTATCTGCAACTGCTGCTTGTCCTCTCAATTACAATACAATATCAAATTTCATCTGTTTGCTTTTATGCAGATGCTAAATAATAAATAGTCCATTGCTTGCATTATCAAAAGTGTATTGTTTTTTCTATAGTTTAGTAGATTAATTCTCGTTCTTGAACACTTAGATGATAAACAAGCTGTCGATAATAAATTGTGATAAAATGGTGTCGATAGACATCTTTCTTAAAATATACATTACTGTATGATCTTAGCAAAGCTATTAATGCGTTGGCCAATTTTTAGATAGAAAGGAATTAATTTCTATGCATATTACATTTCAGCTGAAGCCTTTAAATCCTTTAGTAAAATGATTCGTTCTATCGAAGACGCTAGAGAAGGTTTGGTAAGTCAAGTGTTGGTTCGTGGGTTGACGTAAAATTAAATGATCTAATGCTAATGACTATAGCTCATAGAGTAAGAAAATAACATAGAGTGCTAACTTACTTTTACCCAGTATAGCCTCATCGACTGACACCATTATGTTGACTTTTCTTTATTATGATATTAGGTTTATAATCTATTGCTATTAGCTGTTCTGATAGAATAATTAGAGTTTAGCAGGCTACCTCTACTAAGCCTATTTAATTTACTAGATGACAACATGCAATCTCTCTCTATTACAACCGCTTGAAAATTTTAGAAAGGAAGATATCGAAGCCATGAAGGTAACAGCTGTTGATAATTGTTATAAACGTTGTTTTTAGCGAGAGTTTGCTTCATTAAGTTTGTCTTTATAATGTTATCGCATTAAATTATTTATGACAACCTTGTTTACATTTCTCGCAAACGATCTGCTTAGGAAGAAAAAAAGAAGTACGAGAAATCTAGCCAAAGTTACTATAATGCACTTGAAAAACATTTAAATATTTCCAACAAAAAGAAGGAAGCAGTGGTGCAAGAGGTATGACTAAAATTAGATCATCGTATTATTATGAATGATGCATATATTAGAAATTAAGTAAAGAAAAACGTATTTAATTAATAGTTATATTTTATAATCGTACTTGTACATAGCTTCCTTGCGATGTCATGATTAATGCGTTTTTATTATACTCTCAGTCTGAAGATTTACTCGATCATCAATTAGAAGAATACCATCAAGCGTCTTTGGATTACGTTTTTCAATTATACCAATTGCAGGAAATGAAAAAATTTCAGTTTGTCGAAATTGTAAGAATTGCACCGTATTGTGGTATTTGTGCTTCTTCCATATTTTAATAGCTCATGGTATCTTTTCTTTCATATTCATGAACACACGTGTGATGGCGTCATTTTATATCTATTTTTACCCAACTGCAACATGATGATAGCTTGTTAGATGGATGTACGTTCAGCGGACGTTTTATCACCAAAGTCAGTCAGTCCACCTATATCCCACTTATAAATATGATACAATGATAATGTTTTTATTATTATTCTGTTGAGATTAATTGATTACTCATTGTAATTATGCCAATTTATTTGTCAGGTTACGAAATTTTTAGAGATTCTGAAGGATTCTTAAACCATTTGCAATTAATTCTGCAAAACGTATGTAATTGTGCACTGCAATCTATGCATCGAGGGCAAGCGTCATGCTTAAGTGAGAGTGCTGTTTTGATAGTAATTGATCGTATGACTAACTATTAGGCTAGGCAAAACTTTGATACGCAGAAAGAGGAAGCTCAAAGTTACATTACTAAGATAAGGGTAATTATCGTGAGAATGGGTGTATTTTATGTTACCGCTTGTTTATAACACTTAATGCATACAATTATAGATACTGTATAGATTTAATTGGTCATCGTAAGGTCTCAATTTGTCGCATGAATAAAATAAGCTATTTTTGGCAATCAATCATGTAGAGCAATGCCGACAAAAAAATTAAAAGCACAGACGATACTAGGGAAGGCTACTTGTACATGCTAAAGAAAGGATTAGGTTGGTAGACTTTGACCTATAGTGTTTATATTACCTTGATTAACCATTGCTTATTATTGTCTTCTGCTAAAGTGGGTGGCAACAATTGGGTGAAATACTACTGTCTGTATGAAAAGAAAGGAAAACTGTTTAAGATCATTTCGTCAAGTCAGAACAAAGTCGTACGTTATATAACCTGTAGATTCATATTTGAGTATGCCAATTTTATACTTCCCAGTTTCAATGATTTTAACATCCATGCCTTCAAATTTTACCTTCCATAATTTATAGCCAACCTGTGAAACTATGAAAGTGATGTCTTGCGTAAGGTAATTTCATTTATGATATCATATATTCAAGTCTGCGTTGAAATAAAAATAATTCAAAGTAGCGTTAAGACTTAAGATTGAACTAAATCTATTAGTGGCTATAATGAATTAAAGCATTTATGTATGTTATGATTTGGCGAAATTGCTAGATAAGAGAATGTCTGACTGTAGACAATTAAATTACCTTCAAGTGAAGAAGTTGTTTAATTAAGAACATCATCATTGCCGTAATTGTAATGTTCTTTATTGCTCTTATCTCACAGGCGAAAGACGGATTCTATCGAGAAACGTTATTGCTTTGATATTACATTTAAGCAAGAAACGAAGTTAGTTATAAATACCTATTAGCAATTGATATGACGATACCTTAACTTTTGAGCTAATGATGAGCTCAATTCGATCCTAATTATCGTATTTTAATTATTATAATTGCTATAGAATTGTCAATCATACATTTCAATGTTTGGGCGAAGATGATAGAAGATCTTGGCTTGAAGCAATGGATGGTGCAGAACCGGTATCTAATATAGGCTTTTGGATTTATCGCTAAAAGTTTTGATCAGTCATAATTATTATGATTACCAAAGCTAACCTTAATTAACTTAATTATAAAAAGGTTTATTCTGAAGTCAAACCTCAGAGAAAGACAGTAGGTTACGGTAATTGCGCATTTTCAAATTTATTAGCTGATCAATAAGCTCTATCGTAAGAGTAGCTAACACCAGAATTTGTATCGTAAATGCTTAGAACTGAATGAAAATGGTTTTGCTTTTGTCGAGAGGTGTATTGAGGAAGTTGAAAAACGAGGTAAAATAGACTAGAAATACTATCGTCATTAGGTAATGTGCTATTTTCGACAGAAATTTACTTTATAAGCATTCCTATTGATGTCTATTAGGATTAGGAGAACAGGGATTATACCGTCTTGTAGGATCTACAATTAAAGTTAAGGCTTTGCTGCAAGCATGGATAGGTTAGCATACTATCTTTGATGATACCCTTTACTTTTTTTTATTGTTTGTACGTGGCGAATTAGTTTTACTAAGGAATCAATGTCAAAATTTTTAGAGGGTAATCATTCGGGAGACATTGATTATTCCGAATACCCAACTTCAACAATTACCAGTAGTCTAAAAAAGTACTTAAGGTGAATTTATAGAATACCTGAACATTTAAATCTATTAGTATTAGTGTTTTCCGATTGTTGTTTACATTTAGTTTTGGATTTGTTTTATATAGAATTTGATTTCTACTTTTACCAAAAATTATAAAACGTATTTCTACTTTGTAAAGGAGTATGCCTGAACCTTTAACGACGCATATGCTTCATTCAACTTTTATCAAAGCATGCAGTATGTATCGATGTAGCAAAAACTAGTATAATGAATTGTTACATATTTTATGGCTAAACTTCAGAAATTGCGATTATTGCAGAGTCTGATACGCTAGAAGAAAGAGTTGACGGCGTAAGGGCGGCAGTAGAAAAACTACCCGAGCTGAATTATAATATGTTATACATTGTTGTTGCTCACCTTAAAAAGTGAGTATCAATTACTAAAAATTTTTCTAACGTTAGTGATTATTGCTAAAACTGTAACATTTGATGTTTACCATTTAGCGTTGCCGGTGAAGCAGATGTAAACAAAATGTATGCTAGTAACCTGGGAGTCGTTTTCGGACCAACACTAATGAGGCCGGAAGAGGAGTCTATGGCTGCCATTGTAGATATAAAGTATCAAGGAGTTTGTGTGGAAATAATGGTTTCTTCTTTTGATAAGGTTAAAAATGATTTTGACACTAAAATATCATCCTAAAGGACTATTGAAGCGTTTATCATAGTATGCACCTATAATGTGACTATTCCGAAACTTTTGTCAAATAGGTATTTAAGAGGAATGTAACAAATGCGAAAGGTATGAAACTGCTACTTCATTGCTTGATTAATGAAATCGATGATGCAAACTTTTTCGATTTACGAATATTTTCACTGATTCATTATAAACAAATCAAGTAAGTCTGGATTGTCCTTCTTGCAGGCCCATTTAGTTTAACCCCGACCTTTGGCAAACGATCGGAGGATAACTCTGTTTCTAGAAAGCCTAGTTCACTTTCTGTTACTGCAAGACCGGATGATATAGCTAAAAATAGAAAAGCTAGTACACCTGTTGGGAGACGGAAAGAGGTAATACCGCCTATAAAACAACATAGCAGCCCAAATATTGGAGCGCGGCGCGCTGGTATGGATTCATAAAGTGATTTACATATGAACTAGTATAGACATTAAAATGATTTCTTCTCTACAGCTCTAAGAGATAGATTAGTTTAATACTTTAAAGACGTGTACAACTTGATTATTGATAACACATGATGATTCGTATGTATTTGTTGTTCTTTCTTCCGTTACTTATTCAAGCCATTAGTAGGAAGCCCTCTCCAAACACTGGTGGTACTCCCCTAGTAGCTCAGTACGAATGATACTATAACTGCGATAAAATAATATTTCATATAACTCTACTATTTTAGATAAGTGTTACATAATTCGACTCATGGGTATATGTCTCATACAATGTCGTTTCTTTTAGATTTGAACATCAGGGACAAGGAAACATTACTGGTCAGAGACAGAGTCCATCAACATCACAACCACCATCGTTGCAGCCTTCTGGTCAAAAATTAGGATTTAAGTAAGTATACGGATAACAAAATGTCTTAATGTAGCATTTCTTGTCAATTCTCAAGCTCTTTCGCCCAAAATTAATCAAGTATAACTGAGATTATACGATTATACTGACAACGTACGAGCATACATTAGATTAATTAATGATTCTGAGGCATAAATAATGCAAAAAAATTAATTTTGCAATTACGTGTGGAATACAGAGTTGCTAGAACTTTATACCAGTGTAAAGGAGAATATGACAAAGAGTTATCCTTTGAAGCCAATCAAGTGATTCATAACGGTAAACAGAGAGATATCCATGTACACAACTCCTTCGGTTCAGCAAGTATCTCATCTACTGGTACATAGCTGTATTTGAAGTTTTATAACTTTCTACTTATTTTGCCTATGTTGACAATTAGTACGCGAATCGGAAGAGCCGGGATGGCTTTATGGAACGATTAACGATGAAACTGGATTAATACCTGAAAATTACGTTGAAATTATTAACTAGCAAAAGAAATTTACTCGTGTATATATAATGAAAGTAGCTTATTGAGTACGATATAAAAGCCTAGACTGCGGCTTGTATGATATACACATACTCATTGAAGCAATTTTTGTTACGACTTCTCGTCAGCATAACTTTATTTCTCAAACGAATTCTCGTATTAATTTGACTGCTATCACAGCCGTAACATAGTACGTTGTGTACGTAATATTTGATGTGTCGTTATTTAGTCAGTGAAAGATTATGTTTTGGTCTTTGTATGTATCTCTTTTTCTTTTGCTCATTTTAATATATCTATCAACTTTTCTGACAGGAACCAATTTTTGTAACCATTTTAAGAGAACAGTTATGATTTAAAAATATGTTCTTACGAAAGTGACAATTTTTTAATGAAATGCGGCATTTAGTCTGCCGACTATGATAACAATTTGCAAACTCTGAATTGCAAATGATATTATATTGAATACTATTGTGGTTATTTATCGCACGTTTTCTTGATTTTTCTTGTACTTACATGGACTATTACAAATTGATTATCAAATGTATAGTAGACGATGGATATTTTTACTTTGTGTAGCGATGATCTGATTATTTCGCAGTTATAAAATCATACGAACTTCTGCATTAAGTGAAATACTGCGTAATACATTTGTATAAAGAAATACGTCTAGATAACCTGTTGATTTTAAACCATTCTATATAGTATTTGGCCGTCTTGTAGCAATTAACCTTAATATGTTATTTTATTTGATTACATGATACAAAGCTAATTATGAATAGAATAGTCAAGTTTCTAAAGTATTATGGTCACACAGTCACATGTAAGTCTTTCTATTACCTTGGTGTTAGGACAGTTCATACTGTAAAGTTGTTTTATGATCCTATTAATGTTATCACGGGACACATAGTTGTAATTGATCAATTAGAATAGATACTGGAGAGAATTATCGTATCTTTCAATAAAACCTATTATTACTGGCTTGCGTTTGTCAATTTTCATTTTAAATTATTATTTTTCATCATCATTTGGCTCGATAATGGAGAATGTCACAAATATATTATTCTTAACGCTGCATTTAGCTTAGCATGTTAATAGCGATGTCATAAAAATCAATACTTAAAATTTGGCTACAATGATAGCAGCTATTACAAAATTCGCTTACGTACACGAAAAAGTGATCGCAATCTAGGTATCAGTCAAGTTTTTAACCGTATTTTAAGCCATAAACAGACAATGATATTTTCCAAATGGGGTTATTTAATAAAGTAAACTAATAGATAAGATGATATTGTAGTTAAAAATTAATATCTAGATTCTAACACATTTATTGTATTAGTTGTTAATCAACGTTGTCCTACTGTTGCTTATATTGAAAATTGCCGCGTAAAAAAAATCGCTTGCTTAGTCAAAATTAATGTCAATTCTTTAATTGGTTTGGATTTTCATTAATTTTTTAGCCAATTCGAAAGCGTACGATGATGAATTTGTTTTTCTTATCCATTGCATTGGTATTGCATCAATGCCAAACTGAGCTGCTAAGCAGGCTCCTATGAATGTTGCACGGCTACAGTTACAGCCACCAGCAATCAGCGTATTGCGAACACCATCGATATAAGATTTAGCAGTGAGTAATACATGTAAAGAGCATTGGAAGACTTCAGCAATGGCTATAAAAATGAGAAAGATTTCAGTATACTCGTACATACAATGAAAAATAGCTTAAGAAATATAAATAATTATCATTGCTTCCAAGCATTTTATCTCGTAAACACATCATGAAGTTTCACAGGATATTCTGATCATAGCATTATAATTTATGGTACTATATGACTTAAAGCATATTTCCATGCCATCCAGTTATAATTAACATCATACGCTACCGAAAGTACTAGAGTAGAACGAATGAGATATATTAATGTAGTTTACAGTGATATAGTGATATTTAGTCAGTATAGAAATCATTCAGTGATAATACTTATAATGTCATCAAGAAAGCAATAGAAAGATCATTATGCACATTTCATGCCCTGTTCGATTTTCTTCATAAATTCTAAAACTGTACTGTTAAAGTAATTCAAATACAGATGTGATAGAATATGAAAGTTTTCTTGCTCGCACTACAAAATAGATTTATCTTATGACTAATGCTAGTTCTATCTAATAGCAGACTTTAACTTACCACTACTATGTCCAACATGAGAAACAACATTTACATGTGATCTAGATTTCATATCCACAATGCTCTGAATCATATCGGCGACATTACGATCTTCATCAGTCGGTAAGGTTCGTTGTGGATTTTTTAATTCATTTTGTACAATTGTAAATACGTCTTTATCATACCCTTTTAACAAGTAATGTTCTAATATTCGTGCCGCAGCTAAACAAATCGCCAAACTCTTGGTGTTGTTTTGTGTTATTCTAGCCACTTTTTCAACCGATGCCAACATATTACGCTGGCCAGCGAACATGCCTACAACGGGAGCTAACTTACATAAACAATCTGCATTATAATCATCTGTTGGGCCAAGATTTTGACCATCTAAGCCGTATCTCAACGAGTTCGATATAATATCACTTATGGCACTGGTACGAAGTGGACATGGTAGTGGCCTTTCCGTTGGATCTTTTGGTTCATATTCAGAATTTGGACCAAAATAACGTACTATTCTTCTAATTAAATCTTTAACATCAATGATGCCTGTAAATTATGTTTTGATGTGCGTATATCAATTAGTGATTGTATGATTATGGATATTGGGTTGAATAAGCTGGATGCTATAGCAATTATATTTAGTTATTGATCATGTGGTTTACTTTCAAATGTAATTATAACATTCATAAGAACCCTAACAGCTGCCTATGAGTCTGTTTAACTAGGTATAAATAAATAATAATGCAGATTACGTACCACCATGGTTTGCTAAAGAATCCATAAAGACCATGAGTTGATCACCATAGCAACTTTGTTGGCCGGTATCAATTTTATAACGTGGATTTGCGGAAACTGGCAAAAATTCTGGATCAACGGCATTGTTTTGTTCTAATATTTTATGTATACTATCGCTATCGGCTATGTAATGTAATGGTTGAGCTAAAGTAAAAAAGATGAAATAATGAGGCTCAAGTTATGAAATAGTTTTCGATTGTCAATGGATTGGATAACAAATAGATTGCTTAATAGTTTATCAGATTGTATATAGGCATAGACGATTTTCAATTCAAAGTATCAATCTTTCATGCACTGTAACCTTTAGGTCGAAATAAGAAGATGTTTACGACAAAGTAATCAGATAAATAGAATCTAATTTAGCTTAGTTGTAACAAAGACTTTTGGATATTTTGCGTAGTTAAAATTTGTATAGTCATCATAATATAAATAATAGTAATAGCTATCATTTGTATGTCTATTTATGATAAGTACCGGTGGTCAATTTATAAATATAATATCGCTTCTAATTCGATATGTTTTTCGTTTTCTATCATTGATATCGGTACAATACCTACCGCTCTATCGATGCTATATTTATTACAGTATTTGTTATTCTTTTAAAATCTATTGATTATAATTGCTATGAACGTTAAATTATTAATTAATTATTATCATAAGAAATAAAATACATCACCTGCAGCGTCGGCAACAATTGATCCCATGACGGCTATAATAGCACGTTTTCGAACGATGGATAAATTAGAGGGTAGCACTAAAGCATTTAAACGTTTACTTTCTACAAGATCGTTCTAGAATAAATAAACGCACAAAAGCGAATGGTTATGATAGCAATTAATTCAATCGTTGCAGTAAAATCTTGTAAAATTGGTAAAATTATTCTCATCTACTGCTAGTAATTTGTTTCTCAAAAATTTTTATTAGGTCTTAAAAGGTAAATGATTTATATTTATTGATCCAAACCTTAGAGCTAACAAATAAATTAGTCAACTTATGCCAATTGATAGGGCAGATGAAAATGTTTCTATCTCCCTGACTACAAACATAATCCAATCTCATCGTTCAGGTTAACACCAATTAGTATAGTTGAGTTGGCTAACATTATTGTCTAAGCATATACAATATTCCAGATTTTTAAATATTTCAGTGTTCATTTATTATCCTCGCTGATTACCCTTCATTCGCTCAACACCTTAAGCAACTAAACATGATTTTATAGTGACTTAGAAACTATTTGTTTATCCTTTGCTACTTAGCAAAACGGCCGACCCTTTTTATGGTAGTGTATAATCAGCTGAGGGAATGTTAATCTTGTAGTCTTGCCAACTGTCAATACTACATTAAAATAAATTTTAGTCCATAATGGCCCTAGCATTGCCTTCAAAATTTTAAATTAGCTCTATTAAAATGTCTAGCATACTCTAATGCTGCATTGACCCAAGGAGAAAATAGTAATGATAATTCTAGTATTATTAGAGAAGCAGAACCAATATTAAATATGGCGAACGAAATTTTTTATTTTCGCTAAGTGAAGAAACTACTGTTTAATTTATAAACTGAACTACCAGACTTACACAAGGAAGTTTTTCTGGCAATTGAACTCATTGATAGGAAGAGTTTTCTGGCAAGAGTGCGTTGTAAACTCGCTGCGAGAAATAACTAACTACTCTTGAATCTAATAGCTGATTTGCCATACTTGCACTAAGAAGTTTGTTGGCAATTGAACACATGCATAAGAAGAGTTTATAAGCGAGAACGTTTAGCAAAACATAAGCATAGCTATAAATAGTAACTACTTTTAGATCTATAAACTGAATTACTATACTTGCACCAAGATATTGGTATAGGAAGAATTACTTGGCAATTTATTAGCGTAGATATAAAAAACAGCTACATTTGGACCTATAAACTGGACTAATATACTTGCACCAAGACATTTGCATAGATAGAGTTACTTGGCAAAATATATAGTTAACTAGATGTAAAAAGCAACTACTCTTGAATCTATAAAGTGAGTTACTACCCATGCACAAAAAAATTTGTTGAGAATTTAACTCATGGATAGGAAAAGCTTTTTGGTAACAGTAGAGTAAACTAGTTGTGAGAGTAACTGCTCTTAAATTTATAAATTAAAATTATCAGATCTGCAAAAAGAAGTGTGCTGGTAATTTAACTTAAGGAAAAGACATGGATTTTAGTTGAGAATTTGCGTGATATACGCGTAGGTTGAAAGCTAATTTTAGAAAACTCTTGAAATATCAGAATCGATTTTAGTGAAGAATTTCATGTTTTATAGTAGTTTAAAAGTAAAGCAAATGTAGAAATTTCTGGTGAAATATTGAAATTGATATTAATGAAAAATTTTATGAAACACAATGGTTTGATAGTAAACTAGATGTAGAAATTTCTAGGGAAATATATAAATGGACTTTAGTGCTGAATTTCATGATTGATAGTAGCTTGAAAGTAAAGCTAGTATATAAATTTTAAGCGAGATATCGAAAAAAAATGTTTGCAATGAATTTTACGATTGATCGTAGCTTGAAAGTAAAGCTAAAGTAGAAACTTCTAGTGAAATATCTAAATCAATTTTAAAGAAAATTTTGTGATTGATGATAGTTTAAAAGTAAAGCTAGTATACTTAAAAGATTTTAGAAGTTTGGGAGCATTTGAAAAGAAAAGAGAATCAGTTGATATTTCATCAGCTTTTCACATTTTATAACACTTGTCCAAAAAGTATTGAAAGCAAAGTTGATAAATTAGAAACGTTTAACTATACAAGAATCTTCCTATAACAGATTATAGCAATTTATACTTCAGGATCATATTAAAATAAGGTAAAATATAGAAAAGGAAACGTAGAAATTCAACGAAATCTCAAAGTAGATTTGTAAAGGGTTGGTTGAAATATTTGATTCTAAAGCTTCTACTTCTAGTAAAACCAAAAATGAATTTAGAATAGTCTAATCCGTGATACTGACAACTAATGTCACACACGAATTGGTTACGATTTTAGTTGATGCAAAAGAAGGTTACTATATTTCCTTAAGCTTATCAACGCTTGTTATCGATGAAATTGAAATAGAATATTCTCTTTTAATAAAATTCAAGGTATCGAAATCATAATTCTAGTTCAGAGCGGCGGATAAAACTCACTTAAGATGAAGTCTGTTGATATGAGAGATTGTTTTTTATCTCTCTGCTACAACAACTGGCAGGAATAAATAGTATGACAGTCCAACTATCCAATGGAGCTAAGTAAAGAAGTCATAGGAGTGGGATAGAAAAGGAAAAAGAAGTCATTTAACCGGCAGTCAATAAGATGGATGACTTGATAATCCATTAAGATAATCATCCCTTTATTAAATATAACTTTGATTCAGTTATTGATTTGTCATGCAAGCGGAAAACATTTCAAAGATGAATATCCGGGGAAGATTTTGTTGATGTAAAATAAAATCTATTAAAAATGCTCGGTCCATAATAGATTCTAAGCGGTTACTTTAAGATTTGTTGATGAGAAATTTTTACTTTTTAGAGATTTAGGCAGGATTGATTTTTAAACGTTCTGAGTTGGCGTTATTTTGTTGTCTGGTTAAACTTCATTGAATGATAAAGTTTATCAATACTATCCAATTCTACATCATTTATGATCACCATTGTGAAATGAAAATAAATGGAATATTATTAGAGAAAGAGCAGGACATAGAGGATATGAAGGAAAAAGCATTTTCGTTGTGCGCTGCCTTTTCATACTGGATAAAATACGATAGTTGATACGGAATTAGGCCTAAAGAAGAATATCTAGAATAAAATACTGCAGTCAAAACACTTAATGTAAATGTTTTCTGCAAGAATATTGAGCATCACTTATAGTAGTGGATACAAGGCGATACAATATCATTATGGCACTTTCAGCTAATGTGATATTAGATTAAGGTAGCTAGAGGATGAAATTACAAGTTGTGAAAGATTCCGGGTAGATATAGACCAGTTAAAAACTATTGTAAAGGCAGAAAATTATGCAGAAAGTATCTTAACTCCTTCTTATGCGTATTAAAACGGCGGTAGGTAGTCGGATAAGTTTATAGTAGGCCAATTTTTTATTTAATTGATACAATATTTATCAATATTACCAGATTAATGGCCCAAGATTGTACATGGTTGCCATATTATATAATAAAAAAAGACATTTGCGTAAGAGAAATTTAATTTAGGTATTACTGACATCCTGAAAAAGTCAATAGCGGTAATAATGTACTGCATCAAGAAAGGCTTCCGATGTATAATCTAGCATATGATGGTAAAGAAAGCCACCGTTCTAGCTGAGATTTTATATACGTCTAGGTTAAGAAAAAATTGGAAGGTTGATATATTGAAATCATGTACATTATTCTAATTTTGCTTTAGACTAAGCGTTAGATGAAGGAAATCTTCATCTAACTACAACTGGAACGAAATCAAAACCCAAGCGAAATAGTGGTTAAAAATGGATTAGAACTGATTTTACACCGAACCTTTGAAGGGCTTCCATTCAATCAATACGTAATCAATTTAACTAAGGTGCACAATTTCTAGTTATACTTTGATATTACTCCTTTAAAAATACTGTCGATTCAAAATAATTTTGCATCGAACCTTTAACATGCTTAAGTGGAATCCATGCTAACCGTTTTTACCAAGGTATACAATTTCTAGTAATGTCTAGATATCACTCGTTCTAAAAATGGACTTTAAATGATCTTGTATGAAGCCTTTGACAGAGTTGGATCGAATTCATTTTCACCTAAGTGTGCAACTCCTAGTGATTTCTAGATATCAATCGTTTACTAATGGATTCAAATCGATTTTGTATCGGATCAAAGTTAATTATTTTTACTGAGGTATACAGTTTCTAGCCCTATGTGGATATCACTTATTTAAAAATGGATTCAAGCGGATTTTATATCGAACCTTTGACAGACTTCTCATGTCGAATCCATGTTAACCATTTTCACCAAGGTATGCAATGTCTAGTAATATCTGGATATGATTCGTCGAAAAATAGATTTAAAATTATCTTTTACAGAACCCTTTGACAGGCTTAGATCGAAACCATTTTCACCTAGGTACACAACTTCTGCTGATTTCTAAGATCATTCGTTCAAAGAATGGACTAAAGCTGATCTTATATGGAACCTTTGACAGACTTGAATCAAATCCGTATTAATTATTTTCATCGATGTATACAATTTCTAGTGATATCCAGACATCACTAAAAATTTCGGAACTTCGTCTAATGGAACATTAATGCGATTGATACCACAAGAAATTGAAATAGCAAGAGGAATTCTTTCTTTGATCGTCCTAAGTGTATCTTTTAACATTTACTTTAGTAACTTGTACGACGTATGCTGTACTACTTAGTATCATCAAGTCTGAGAATGGAGGGAATAGCGAAGGGCTGGTAATCCTTCCTAATTTTTGATAGCCAATTTGTTTTTGGTAGTGGGAATTTTAATCTTAACGTTGCTTCCCTCAAATGATCGCTCGAAGCAAAGGAAATCAGATTCAAGCCACAGATACCCTCTATTATAACTTGGATGTCATAGAATGGACATCACAGTAAAGTACAAAGATAGAAATGGGAAAATATTCTATTTATGATTATCAACATAAAATTAATGACTATTTGGACGTTAATTATCGTCTACTGTGCATTCAATCATGGTTATTTCTGCTGTTTAAT